TGGATTTTTGGGTTAAAAATCAACATTTTGGTTTAAAAAAAGCTGTTTACTTCATGGCTTTACGCGCAAGCGGTAACAACACTTTTTATCATGATATTTTACAAGTAGAAAGCCAACCCCCTATTTATTATTTTTGTCCGAGGCTATTTTGTGTTAAATGACAGTTACATTGTTTTTTTGGGCCAAAAACGACAGAAACAGCTATTTTTCTGTCATTTTTCGTTAAAAAATCGCCACAGTTGAAAAATATCGACTTATATGCAAAATAGCCTCGAACAAATTTGATAAAAAAGTGATAATAAGTAAACATGGTAAAGATCAATTATGCAGTTTTCAGATGCGCGTAAAGCCGTTTAAGTCATACTCCATGAACAAAAGGCGTAACAACGCGGGTTTACAGGGAAAACATACAAATGACCGCCGGTAACCCCGAATTCGAACACGCGTTCTATTCGAATGACGTCATATCGAACATGGTGGAACATGATTCGGGTTCGAATGAATATCAGCCTAGGCCGCCTTAACCCAACCGAGGCTGGGGCAGCGAAATACCTATGGCATGTTTCTGTTACTGAAAAAGTGTGGATGATCTATTTGTTCATAAAAAATGTCATGAACATAAAAACATATACAGCGTCCTTCTGTAACTTAGCCACTTCTGCCTGTGGTCCTGATGTTGTATCTCCAGCTTTTGGAGCTTTACCGGCAGACGTGCCATGTCCACGGTATTTGAAAAATGACCATCTGGCTGCTCGAGTGCTTGCCTTTCGAACTGACCTGACACTTTCGGTTTCTGTAACAAGGGCTAACTTCCAGAAGGGGATTTCTGACGTCACCTTTGGCATTACAATTAAATTGCCATGTCCACGGTTTCATAGTATTTAAAAATGACTTCCGCTGCTCGAGTGATTGCCTTTCGAACTGACCTGACGCCGCACAAAGCATATATGCGGTTTCGGTTTCCGTCACGAGGGCTAGCTGTCAAAAGGGATTTCTGACGTCACCTTTGGTATTACAGTTGAGATTAAATTGCCATGTCTACCATACCATACCTAACCCGACTGTTAAACGAATAAAAGAGCAATATTGTATTCGACAAAAGCCTTCAGAGAACCTGAACAAGGGAAAAAAGTGACTTATGCGATGAAAAAGTTAGGCCCTGTTAGTCGTAAGGTTTGCGAAATATACTTATGTGTATTATATAGTAATTATATTAATTATTCTAATTATTAACTGACAGCGGCGAAGATGATGATTATGAATTATTCTCAATCATATGTAACGGATTATCCATTCTTCTTCTTTCTCTTTATTTCCTCCCATAGGAGAGCAGTGTCACATCAATACAACATTAAAAGTCACTTCACATATACCAATTAAAATATGCTAATTAAAGTATATCTTGTAGGGTATTTACAAGGGTGATCAAACGATCATAATGTCGGCAATTAAAAGATATATACTTTACGTCACGAATTACACTATAGGGTATTTTCGTTTGTTATCCTCCTTTTACACCGTAATAAAATGTTCAAAGGGCATCAAAAGTCTCTGATTCAGTCCTTTTTGCCTTCACTTAAAGACTCAAGTTCTTCTAACTAAATCCCTTCTCAGCTACAACGCCAATCTGCAGGTAGAGAGTAGAACCCAGGGAACATTGTCCTCTCTGTTATACCCCTCCCTGACTAGTGTCTCTTTCTAGTTCTGGTCCTCTCTCCTCAGCCTTCTCTCCACAGCCCTCTCTCCTCAGCCCTCTCTCCTCAGCCTTCTCTCCTCAGCCCTCTCTCCTCAGCCTTCTCTCCTCAGCCTTCTCTCCTCAGCCTTCTCTCCTCAGCCTTCTCTCCTCAGTTTTCTCTCCAGTTCTTCCCTGCCTTCTCTCTGCTTCTCTCCGTTCCAACTGTTCACCTTTCTTTCCATGTGGCATGTTTTAGTGCCATAGTTGCCAATGGGCGGAGTAGTTTGGCTGCTGTTGTAATGAAGGCGCACCACACTTCTGCGTCCACTTCTTCTTCTGTTACTTCCGCTCCCAACATAATTTCTGTAAACCTCTCTTCTGGCTGTTCGTGTACTCTTGCCATCACCCTTACTCCCAGATAGTTCGCTAGTTCTTCTGCCAGGGCTTGTCTCAGGTGTATGAATGTTGTACATCGGGTGAACAGGTGGCCCACTAGGTCTTCTGTGTCCGACTTACAGGTTGGGCAAGGCTTTCTGTTGTGTTTGGTTGGGACAGTACTAAGGAGGATTAGGTTCTTTAGATCTCTTTGGTGCTCTGGTTGTTGTCTTGCTAATACCCATAGTTTATGCGGTTTCTCGCTTGTCGGATGTACTTTGTAGAACCTGTGACATGTGCTTTCAGAGGACACTGTGGCCTGCCACCTCTCATTTCCTTTAGCTCGTATTGTTGTCTTCACCAGTTGCTTCCATTCACTTGCTGAAGGGAAATTCGTCGTCAGCCAGTAATCTTCTAACCATCCTTCCAAGCCATATTCTCTTGCTACTTCAAAGCACTCACTGACTAGACCTCTTGCCTTCCTATTTGTTCTTCCTAAGACGTAGGAGTATAGCCTGAACAAGAAGACCTTCTTCGCCAGGATTGTGTTGCGCATAGAGACAAGTCTCCCAAATAGGCATAGTTTGAACCTGTCCAGAACTGATTTCAGGCTCTCCATCCCCAGGGCTCCAAGGCTCGCCGTTGTCTCTGTCTGGAAGTGCATGCCTTGCATGCACTTAACTCCACTTCTATGTACTTTCTCTAGTTTCAAGAGATCACTGTTTGACGGGCTCCAAAACTCACTTCCGTGTAACATTCTTGGTATCACTAGTGTGTTGTATAGGGTTTTGGAGATTAAGGGGTTAAGTTGCTGTCCTTCACTGCCTGTTGCCAGAATTGCACTAATCCTTCCCCTTCCCTTTCTGCAGGCTTGCTCAATGCTTTCCGTTGATGAAAGTTTTGGCTGAATGTTGTACTCCGACATGAGTCACCACACTTGTTTCTGGTATTGATCTTGTGCCCATTCTCCAGCAGTAGGATGCATTGGGCGTCTGCTGTATGCTACTTGTTGATCCAAATACAACACATTTACTCTTGTCAGGGGCAAACTCAAAGCGCCATTTTCTTCCATACTGGGTCATGATGTCGATCATTCTCTGCAGGCCCATCCTTGTGCTAGCTAGGAGACAGATATCGTCCGCTAATGCTGGGGAAGCGCAGCACATGCCTCCCATGCACACTCCACCTGGCTGGGCTTGTAGTTCTTCATGCACGTCGTCAGTAGCTAGTAAGTAGCAAGTCAGAGATAAAATCCCTCCTTGGTTCACTCCTCTTGTTGTGTTGAACTCTCTTGATAGACCACCGTTTAAGAAGACTGAGTACGTACAGCCTGTGTGCATGTGTTTGAGAAGTCTCCATAGTTTGCCATTTATCCCTCTCCCGTACATTTTAAATAGTAATCCCTCCAGCCAGACAGTGTCATAGGCCTTCTTAGTGTCCAAGAAGCATCCGTACACCAGACTCCCTCTCTCCTTGAAATGATTGATCACTTCTCTTACAATGAATGCAGTTGTTATGTTACTACATCCAGCTTGGCTCCCACTCTGGAGTTGGTGAGGTATACCCCTATCACACAGCCATGGGCTCCACCTGTTATACAATGTCCTCTCCCACACCTTTGATATAACCGGTAACAAGGTTACGCCTCTATGAGAGTCCAGATCAGTCTTGTTTGTTTTCCCTGTTTCAGGAGGGGTATCTTCACTCCCTTTTTGAAGCCAGCTGGGATATATTCCCTCTCCCTGATTGCATTAAACAGGTTTGTCAGACGGGTCCACAGAGTCTCACCGCCAAATTTGATGTGTTCATAGACTAGTCCATCAATTCCACCACTCTTCCCATTCTTTAGACCCTTGCAGACAACTGCTATTCCTGCAGTGAAAAGGGTTCTTCAAGTATCCCTTCTGTATTCATGTGGCTCTCCTCTTCCATCTTAACCACTTCTTCTATGATCTTTCTTTTGTGCACTCCATCAAAGATGTTGTCTTCTTCCTCCTGTTCATTACCTAACTTCTCAAAATGTCTTGCCCAGGTTTCTCTTACCTCAGTGGGATCTGTGATAACTCGTTCCCCGACTTTTACGGCCTGTGGCTTATCTACTCTGCCTCTTCTCTGTCCCACTCTTTTCCAGAACTCTTTGTCATCAACTCCAGCCAATGCGGCCAGTTCTTCGTTCTGCTTCGCTTCATGCAGCATTCTTTGCTTCTCTCAGTTCTGTCCCGAGCCTGTTTTTGCTCTCTTTATATGCCCTGTACAACTGGTTGTCTTTTCCTCGGTTTCCGCCTTCTTTCCACTGGAGCCATGCTTCCACTTCTTGTTGGTGCACTTCTGTCAGATCTGGTGTCCAATAAGGTTTCTGGTGTTTCTTTCTTTCTTTCGGAGGCATCACTTCCTCGGCTGTTCTTATCAGTATTGTTGTGATTGTCCTGAGCTCATTATCTATGTCTTCTGTTGACATCATAGTTGGAGCTCTACTTGCTCCCAGCCTCTCCTTCACTCTCCTTCTATACATCTCTTTCTCCTCTTGGTCAGCTTTATGCCACCTGGGCTTTGCTCTGGGCATAGCTTCCTCCCACTCCCTGGGCTTGTTGGTAAATGTGGCAACCACAGGGTTGTGGTCAGATAAGTTGAGACTGCGATCTTCCATCACTTCACAGGCGACTGTTTCTGCTATAAGGGAGTATGGGACGAGTATGTGGTCTATTGTTGACCGATGGTTCCCACTGGCATCATGGAACGTGTATAAAGGCCCTTTACACAGCTGGCTCAGGTTGAGGGAAAACAGAGCTAATTCTTCCATTGTGTTCTCAAGTTCTCTTCCTCTCTTAGACCCTTCCCCTCTGCCTCTGGGCCTCCATTCTCTCTTCCTCTCTGCTCACCAATGTCTGCATTGAAGTCTCCGACAAGTGTTACCTCTCCTTCATTTTCATACTTTCTGTATATTTCTGTTATAATGTCCAAATGTTCCCTGTAGGTTTCAACCGCCAGGCCACTGTATGGCATATAGACTGCAAAGACAAGGATTTTCTGGCCGTTCTGGAGCCTGACTCTCACTCCAATAATTCTGTCGTTGCCATCCTCAAGTTTATGCACTGCATAGTCAATTGACTCCTTCCACAGTAGGGCAACTCCTCCCTGCCCTCTTCTCCACAGTGTGTTATGTCCCTTTAGCTGGTTACTTGCTCTTCCCCACCCTCTGTGGCTAATCATCACTTGGTCAAGTTCAGGTAGTGCCTCCTCGTATAACCAATGCTCAGTAACTGCAAGGATGTCTATATGAGCTAGATGTTTCCTTATGAATGGCAGTGCTGTCACTATTCCCCTGGCATTGTAGCAACCAACTGTCAGCTCTTTAGGTGTACATGTGCTTGAAGTATCGGTGACAATCACTGTGCGTCCTGTGAGTCTGCTGGCCTTGTGTAAGGACTGCCACTTGTTATTTGGTTCCTCTCACCATTGTCTTTACTCTTGTATTTCCTTTCCAAGTCTGCCAGGTTGCTTTGTGTCTTCTGTCCCAGTTTCATGTCCTTGTTCTTATAAGAAGTCTCTGAAACCCAAGCCCTGCATCTGACTCCCTGGGGCCAGAAGTTGTCCCTGGTTACTAAGTGGGCTTGTTCCACCGGGACGTTGATTCTTGCGAATGCCGTATCTTTCTGTTTAGACGCCATGATCCTTACAAAACTCAGCTGGACGCCCTTGTTCTGTGCGAACTTATATATCATGTTCTGCAGTCTCATAGGATCTGTCTTCTTCAAATAACCCAAGAAGAACCTTTTCCTTCTTACTTTGTGTCTCTCCACCCCTACAAAGTCTGTTAGATCTGTACTCTTGTTCAGAGATTCATTGTTATTCCGCCCTTCAGTGAGGTTCCCCTGCTTGTGGTAGTTATGACTTAGCCCAGGCAGGTGTGGGCTTGCAGTTCTGTGTGAAGGGCTTCTTGGGTTTGACAACCCCTCTCTCGTTTGAAGTAATGCTTCTTTGTATGACCTGTGCTGGTTCTTCTCTGTTCGCATCTGTGGGCTGTGGTTGGTTTCTATGGCTGTTGTCTGTTGTCGTCTGCTGTGGTTACTCTGCCCACTAAGGACTTGCCCTTCTGAAGAGTAGCTCTTCCTCCTTGGTGTTGAGTACCTCTTCGTTGTCCTATGCCCTATTACACTGGTAGGGCTCGTGCTCTCAAGCCGTATTGACTTAATTAAGCTTCCCATGGACCTCTGTTTTCTTACCAGCCCTTGAACTGTTTTACTATCAGCAGCATACTTTTTGTTACATTCTCCTTGTGAAAGCAGTGACTGACTCATATCATTACCAGTTTCGCTTTCTGAGGATGTCTCTTCAGTCTGCTGGCTTCTTCTCCCCTTTTGTTGTTTTGTTGCTTGTTGTGTCCCTCCTTGGGCCTGGTTACTTGCCTCACTTGTCTCTCCATGTGTCTCGTTTACTGGTTTGCATGGGGTTGTGTCTAGATGTATTAAGTTGGTATGGCTTTGTTGGTTCTCTCTTGGTTCATGCGCTTTACTAGAGTTCTCTGACACGTATGTGGTGGTCTGAGTTATGTTTCTTGATCCAGTGAACCTTTCCATAGTAACTTCATGTGCTTTGCTAACCTTTCTCACATGTGCTATTTCCTGTTGTAGGCTAGATACCTGCTCATCATGATGTTTGGTTAGTTCCTTGATTATTTCCTTTAAGTGTACTATCTCTTGTTGCAGACTCTGTATATGTCTCTCGTGCTGTTCAGTCAGGTTTGGGGATTTGATCTCCTTGTTCTTCAGTTCATTGATGCTCGTGTCGCCTACTGCACCCATGGTCTTGAGTTGATCTTTTATTTCTTGTATCATACGGTGTGTCGCTGACAAGGCCAGTTCTTGTTCTTTTAATCTTTCCTCAAGTGAGTGGGCCAAATTGTGAGCGTAAGTTGTAATCCTGTTTATTTTTGTTTCTTTTTCTATGTCAGCTCTCTTGCAGGAGCCATGTAGACTCTGTAGCTCTGTTTCCACCGAATTAATTTTGTTGCTGTGCGTTGCTATTGTTGTTTGCACTTTCATTTGTGCCGTTTCAACCTTCTTCCACTTCCCTTTCATACCTTCTATTTCTTCTGTCATCACTAAATGTGATCCTTTCGTGGCTGCTATTTCCTCATGTATCCCACTCAGGTGCTTGTCACAGTGCTCTATAATGTCCTCTCTGTCTACTTCGTAGCGTCTTAACTTGTTGCTTAAGCTCTCAATCTTCTCTTTCGACTCCTTCATCTCCTCCTCCAGCACCTCTAATAGACCCTGTGTTTGACTGTCATGTTGGCTGTTTAGGTCTGACATGGTGTTCTCTTGGTTCCTCAATCTGTTTTCCACTCCCTTCAGTCTCTCTTTTATCATTCTGTCATCCTCATTCAATCTTTCTCTAAGTATTGCGTTTGCAGTCAAAATTCTTGCCACTTCGTCATGATCTTGATCTTGTTCTACTCCATCATGTGCCATGCTCAGCCCTCTTCTCCTGGTGACTGCTGGGCTTTGAAACCCGGATATTTGCTGGCCTGAGAACATCTTTTTGATTTCTGTCACGTTCTTCTCGCCTTCAATAAACTGAAACAGTGCACAGCAGTCTTCTGCTAACCTGCTCATGACTGGTTCGGCATTCGCCCTGTATGTTCTTCTCCTCAATATCCCTGGTGGGCAGTCTGACCTTTCCCGTCTTGCTACTATCAGTAGAGCTTCTCTTGTGTGATTCAGTATGTCTTCACTGTTCATGCTTGCTGCAAGCAGCTTCTTCTTGGCCGTGACCCTGTCTAATCCTTCAATGTGAGACTTAATGAGATTATGTAACTGTCCAGGTGTCTCATCATCATCTTGGAATATGTCGTCTAGGCCCGTTAGCCATGTTCCTGAGCTGTCATGGCCCGTAAACTCTTCCTCTATGTACTCCATGGTTGGTAGTAGTTATGTAGGACTCACCAGGTTTTCTGTTGACAAACCTCTCGCTCCTGTCTCGGTACTTCCCTGGGGCCGTGATCCTCTCTCACTTCTTTAGAATTGGATCTACTATGAGGTCTCTGCTCCAGTTCGTTTTCCTTCCAGCGGCGAAGATGATGATGATGAATTATTCTCAATCATATCATTCATTCGTTCATTCATTCATTTAGTCCACGGTTTGATAGTACTTGAAAAATGACATCCGCTGCTAGAGTGCTTGCCGTTCGAACTGACCTGAAGCTGTGAAAAGCATATCCGTAGTTCCAGTTTCTGTCACAAGGGCCGTCATGTCAGAGATTTTCTAACCCTTAGTCTAACCCTGACCCAAATTATTCCGAAAGACTCAGATAGAAACTGTGTTCTGCGACCTCGTATTGGATACTTGCAATCTACTTTTATCACAGTGATAATTTATGGATAGTAGACAAATGTCTACGTATCGATAGCATTGCATTCAGCGCTAGGCAGCTCTGCGAATTGTTTTTCAACTACAAATTCACACCATATAGAAGATGCTCTCGCTTTCGATGTTGTTTTTCACTAGACTTCTTATATAATTAGGGTGCTGAAAAAAGGACAAGTTTTGCGGGTGAATCAATGGTATGGCAGCATAGTAAAGGTAGCCAACAAGAGGAATGGTTCTTATACTATCATGAAAGTCCATTTGTGTTGGTAGTTACATGTTTAAAGTTAAAACTTTTGGTCCAAAACAAAAAAATTCTCTCACCTAGATCTTTCAAAATCAGTCACTCTGGTCTTCCTAAGAAAACTTCTTCATTCTGTTTGGCCAGTTCCTTCTGAGCGGCTAGCGGCACCGCGTTTTTCTTTCCATATTTTTCGAAATGTACATCTACTAGCAATATCCATGTTATAATGTAAAACAAAAGACAATGTCCACCTGATGATGCGTCCACGTGCCAAAGCGCATCAGTAGGTGTGCCGTGTGCGCCACCTTGCGACTGCATAACGAACTAGCCTGGTATCCAGCCTTGTTAGCTTTAGTCCGCTACCCAAGGCTAGATACCAGGCTAATAAAGAGCTACCGTGAAAGACAATCTGAAAAGTGTCTACCAAACCTGGTTACCATACCAATTTTCCCAGATCGTTTTAAGTTTCATTTGTTCCTTCCGGACGAGTAGGTTGACAGCAACATGAGAAGGCTGGCAGGGATACCAAGGCCACACCGTCTTAATTTTATGGATGCCATCCTCTGAAGACCCCCAAATTTGTGTGCGCGGGCGAATAAAAAAGATTCTGGCGAAAAATAGAAATGCTACTACACCACAGGAATACAGAGCTCATGTATTGTGAATTTGTAGTGGTACATAGCGACGTCTACGACAAGTCGGCACATGCTGGCTTTTTGCGGAGTTTATGAATCAGCACTGTACGTATGTACTGAGTTCTTGACGTCGTGGAGCTTCGGTAGCCTGGGGGCTATCCTCCGTAGTTACCACCCGGGCTCCGTATTGTCACTAATATAACTACCATGGACTGCCCAGGCCCAGAGCCTCGGAGAACGTGATCTTCTTTTCTTTTTTACAACAGACGAAAATCAATGCGCGCGGATGTCATCCATGAAATTAAGTCGGTGTGGCCGAATCCTGTAGTAACCGCCGGATGATAACCATGTCGTACGGAATTCAACAAGCACATACTTAATCCATGCTACTAATTAAAATCTACCTTCCTTACCAAGTACACGTCTTCCAAAGTGATTGTGAGTGCTACATGTACAAAATATGACACAAAGTCGTCTTTGAAGGGCAGAAAACGTCAGTCAGTTTATTTTCACCCAAGGTCATTGTTAGGACATATGTAACAGATTCCACAATAAACTTTAACCCTATCTAGACCGGGGG